AGAGAGAGAGAGAGAGAGAGAGAGAGAGAGAGAGAGAGAGAAGTGAGAAGAGAGAGAGAGAGAGAGAGAGAGAGAGGCTCTGCAAAGAAGCAGTGAGGGGGAGGGAGCTCTTTGCTAATTTCGACTTACTTTAACATCTCATCTGTGCTAGGCACCTTCAGAATCTCAAGGAAATGCTGGTTGTCTGGCTCAACCAGGAGCCAGATGCCAATGCCTAGAAGCGTAGCTCCAGACAGCTGAAAAAACACAAGAACGGCACGCACTTGTTAATGGCTGAACCTCACACGTTTAGAACACGCTGTTATGTAACGGAAATGCACGTTAATCAATTTTTCGAATGGATAAAACCACTAAAAGGGTAAGAATTACGAGACGGCGTGGCAGTGTAAACAATATATGCACACACACGCACAGTTCAGTGTGCACGCATGCACATGAACGCCCGATCCATGGACGCACGCACGCACGAACGCACGAACGCTCGCTCGCACGCACGCTCACTCGCACGCACGAACGCTAGCTCGCACGCACGCACACAGACACACACACACAAATGCCATTTGGTGTAGAAATAGAACTGTTCTGCAGAGATTCAAAGCCTGTGCCATTCTTCCTTCTCAGACCTTCCCCACTTTTCTTGTACAGTACCAAATAGGGTACGGCTAGTGTACGGCTTAGCTCCAAGAAAAGATCTCGTAGTGCAAGATTTTATATACATTCATTCTCACACAGTGTCGAGCTAGGGTTGGGGCTCTGATACGGCTGTGACTGTAGCCTACATCTATAACGCCTATACAACACCATTCCTTGGAGCTAAGTTAGTCGGCCAATGCATTTAGGGTTAACTGCTGTAACCTATTGCTACACATTAACAAACAATACGTTCCAGAAACAAATGTTGTGAAAGCCTGTAATGTGTTGATTATTGCCACATGATAGATGGTAATAACATCTTCTTACTCTCATTATCCTTTCCTGCCCCCTTACAACAGTTTTATTAACCTTGACTGATTTTCGTCTCTGCTACACGAATGGATGAACCATGTTTGTTTTGCACAAATACGTACCAAACTCTCAATAACTGTTTGTTTCACAACCAGTTAAACCCGAGCAGCAATTCAGCGTGTGCGCAATCAAAACGCTGCAATATTAGGACTGAATTGCAACGCCTTTATTGCCACGTTTATTACTTAATTCACACGTCTGCACGATTAACCTGTTATACACGTCACGGGGCAGGGCACAGCGGTTCTCACGGAATTCAATCAAGCTGGTAGAAAACATCCGCTGGGAATTTTAGCTGGCTGCAAAAAGCAAAGGCATTGTCGCACGAGTGACGCACGCTGTGTTATGTAAATATCAATTATTGATAAATTACTTTGCATCCTTCTTTTCGGTTATTGCATTATTTATCAATGCGCTGAGGCAGAGCTCCTGACAAAAAACTCGATTAATCACCGAAAGATGGAGCCGCCGTCAAACCACATAAGCATTAACCAGAGCATTAACTGTGAGCAGCAGTGAGACAGCAGGGTTTAGTTCTGCAGCCTAAGCTAAGCTATTATATAACATTCCACAATAAGCCCCAGACGCCGCTATTAAAAACTTGCGATGGTACGACAGAAGATTATTGCAGAACTGCTTCTAATGCTGCTGCTGCTGCTACTGCTTCTACTGCTGCTGCTGTTACTGTTACTACTGCTGCTGCTGTTACTACTGATTCTACTGCTGCTGCTGCCGCTGTTGCTTCTATTGCTGCTGCTGCTGCTGCTGCTGCTGCTGTTACTACTACTGCTGATGATACTGCTGCTGCTGTTGCTGCTGCTGCCGCTGCTACTGCCACTACTGATGCTGCTACTGCTGCTACTACTGCTGCTGCTCCTGCTGCCACTACTGCTACTACTGTTACTGTTGCTTCTACTGCTGCTGCTGCTGCTGCTGCTGCTGTTACTACTACTGCTGCTGCTGCTGCTGATGATACTGCTGCTGCTGCTGCTGCTGCTGCTGCTGCTGCTGCTACTGCTGCTACTACTGCTCCTGCTGCCACTACTGCTACTACTCTTACTGTTGCTTCTACTAGCTGCTACTCCCACTGCTGCTGCTGCTGCTGCTGCTGCTGCTACTACTACTGCTACTACTGTTACTGCCACTACTGCTGCTACTGCTACTGCTACTGCTACTGCCACTACTACTGCTACTCCCACTACTGCTGCTGCTGCTGTTGCTATGGCGAGTCTGCTGCCAAGGTTGAGAGCAGCTTGCCGACTGCCACGGAACACAGCGACACTGCACCAACGACCGTACAGGGAAGCATAATAGGAGCGCACTTCGCTGCCAATGCCAGTCGAACGCAGCACTTAATCCCCCCCCCCCC